AGGAGAGGGAAGCCCCAGCGGGTGGGTAAGCATGAGACCCGGGGGAGGCAGTGGGGACAGTGCAGGGGCTGGAGCCCGGATGACGCTTGGGGGGCGGTGGGGGGGGCTATAGATCCACCCTTCGCAGCACCTGCTCTCTGCACGCACACGCAAGCAGACTCGCCCACTGATCGTCGAGCACCAGGGCCCCCACCCCGCGTACAGCCACCTGGGGCACTGGCGCCAGCAGGCACTGTCACGGCAGGCCACGCCGAGACCCTCCTGCCGGGCGCACAAGCGCTTGCCCACAACACACACGGCCACTCTGCCCAAGGGCCTGGGGCAGAAGGGCGCTGTGGGGGGCGGGGGCCGGGAAGGGAGCAGGGCCGCCGGCGGGCCAGGGGTCTGATGCCCACGCTGTTCTGTTCTCCGCGCATCCCCCCGCGCCGGTGCTCGGGGTTCGAGAGGACCAAACGTTAAAGAGGGTGCAGGCAGCGCGCAGACGGCCCCCCTTCCCGGCCAACGACCGGCGCGCCTGGCTCGGCCCGCCCCAGCCTTCCCCAGGCCTGCCGCGTCGGGGAAGGAATTCTGGGGGAGGCCGCCGAGCAGCAGCATTCCTCGCATGGGGAGAGGGGTGCCGGCGGCCTGCGGCTCAGCCTCAGTTTCCCCACCTGCACGGGGGGAGGGACGGGTGCTTGCCTGCCGGAGCAGAGCTCAGGTTGGGGGACAGGAGACCGTTCGAAGGGGCACCTGGGGCAGATGGACCCATGCTCTGCCTGGCCAGCGCGGAGCAGCCTCTCCCGGGCGGGGATGTCCACCCCGCCACCCCCAGAGCCGTCCTGGCTGGCTCCCTCCAGCTGCTCCAGCCCCTCTAGTCTCAAGCACGCACAAAATCTCCGAACTTACTCTTGTCACATGCACCCCGGGCAGGGGACCTCACCTCCCGGAGCCCTGGAGTGCCCCTCATGGGGGAGCAAGGCTACCTGCTCCGTAACGGGGAATGAAGACCAAAAGCGATGGTGGCCATTGGGTTGGCTGCCACCGACTGCCAGGGACCCCTGTGCCACCACCGTGGGCCGGCAGAAAAGAGGAGCCCAGGAATGCGTACGGGTGTATAAATGTATGTCCCCAGAAGCCACCTGGTCCCAGAAATCTCACAGATCAAGCAAGAAGGGGGGAAGGAGAGGGGCTTTCTGGGCGGGGCGGGGGGGGCGG